GCACTTGCTAGGCAAGCGCTCTACCACTGAGCTAAATCCCCAACCCTGCGTTCTGGAGATCTTTTCATGTCAATATATATCTACTTAACTTAAAAAAAGTATACATATATATATATATATGTATATATATATATATATTCTAGTTTATTCAACCATCCCACTATGGATGTATCTCTAGGCTGTCTTTCAACTTTAGCAAAACTGTATCCAATTCTCTCCCTGTTTTCACCAAGACCATCACAGTCCTTTATCCGTTCTTTCCCCTCCAGCCTGTCTGTCCTTCCCCTGACAACAGCTCGATTCTGTGGGTTCAAGGCCAGCTAGCACAGGCATTCTCCCAACCTCCACTACTATCTCTGCTCCTCTCTCAAGGCATCTACACTGGAGGAAACTGTACAGTCGGAATGTTGGGGCCACTGCAGATGCTGTGTTTGCAGACTCATCTGGCCCTTCGGGGCAGCTCCCCCACCCCCACCCCCCCACCGTGTTCCTGTCTAGTTCACCTGCCTGCCTTCCAGAGCACCTGGCTTAGATCCCAAGTCTCCTTGGTCCCCTGCACTCTTCTTGGAGACAACTTTGCTTCTGATTTAAAGGGAAGATTAAGGGAACCGCATGCCAAGTCCTCTGTTGCATGACACTCTCTGGGGAGACATGAGCAAGTGTCTGCTCACCCCAAATAGGGAGCCAGAGACAGACCAAAGTAGTTACCACCAATGTCTGATCGGGCAAACCAATGCACTTATTGGAGTTACAGGAATACGGGTGAGGTCTTACAGGAGCCAAATGACTCAGAGACAGCCTCATCACCAAAAGCTCGCCCTAGCTCATGAGTCCTGCAGACAGCTCCACAGGCCGGAGGGCGTCTCTTCCAGGGAGCTCAGCTCGTCTGAGAGTGATTTCCAGCAGTCCTTATTGCTTATATATGCTTGGGAGGAGCCCAGTGCATCTGCTCAGTTTGGGGTACTTCCTGAGCCTGTTTCTCCTCCCTTTAGAATGGGCATCCTGTCTTAAGGAGTTTCTTTCCCAGATAGAAGGTTTTACCCTGAGAGGATTGCTTCAGAACACACCCATGCAAACCTCTACATGCTTATATGTGCAGGTGCTATGCTGCTATTTCCTCCAAATTCAGACATTGTCTCTTTGGGAGAGGAAGGAAGGTAAGTAATTTATTAGGCTCAGAAAACTGTAAGGAAAGCCTGGCACTCGGGAGGCAGAGGCAGGCAGATCTCTGTGCATTCAAGGCCAGCCTAGCCTATAGAGAGAGTTCCAGGACAGCCTGGGCTATGCAGAGAGACCCTGTCTCACAAGAAACAAACAGAAAAGACAACTGAGGAAAAGTACAAAGGAATCTGGGAAAGCCACAAGGTCTCTTCCCAAGGTTGTGTCAGCCTCAGAGAATTCCTCTGGGGGAAGAGGCTTCTGGGGTTTGCCTGCAGGGAGCTCCTGAGATGTGGCTTCTGAGTGTCACTGCTTAGCATCTACCTGTGAGTCACTCCTCACCCATGCTTCAGTAAGCTGCCCTCCGAAAAAACAAAAACAAGTCGGGCGGCGGTGGCACACGCCTTTAATCCCAGCACTCGGGAGGCAGAGGCAGGCAGATCTCTGTGAGTTCGAGGCCAGCCTGGGCTACAGAGCGAGTTCCAGGAAAGGCGCAAAGCTACACAGAGAGACCCTGTCTTGAAAAAACCAAAACCAAAACAAACAAACAAACAAACAAACAAACAAAAAAACCCACCAAAACCAAAAACCACATCATTAGTTCACCAAGCTAGACTTGGGTGGAATCATTTCTTCAGTCTACCTAGAGTGAGTGACTAGGCATTTGTTCACATCGTGAAAAGCCATACAACATGTGCCCCCAAAGGGGCCAGCAGAGCCAAATGTAAGTTGAGGAGGAGCAGCCCCATGGTCCCAGTGAGGGGTGGTAAGGCATGTGGCCGAGGATAATCTGAGGTGCGAGAGTGGGGAGGAGATCCTGAAACGTGTACCTTCCCCCCCCCCCATGGTTTGGGGTGATGTGCGTCCTGCCTGTCCAGCACTGTGTGTGATGAGATGCGCAACCAAGGGTAAGGCCTCTGACAATGAGGCATCACTGCGGGGAGGGGAGGTCCCAGGGTGGCTGTCTTCCTCCTGGATGAGTGGGGACCTCTACATGAGTATAGGGGTACCCCCAAGTGGCCTATGTGATGTGTATATTATAATCCCTGAAGTAGCATGATAGAGCAGAATTGTAAGCGGGCTGGTGCGGCAGTTGCGTGGCTTTTGCTGGGGGTGATAAGCAGTGCAACTATAGTTTGTCTGTCTGTCCAGAGAGAAGTTACCATGTAAGGGGGTTAATTAGAGAGAGAGAGAGAGAGAGAGAGAGAGAGAGAGAGAGAGAGAGAGAGATGCTATCCTCTTTCTGCAGAGCTCTGATGCAGCAGAGAAATTGGAAAAAGGGGAGGATGAGATGGGCCCGAAAGGAAAAGTACAATTTAAATCTGACTGAAGAGCTTTGCCTAGGCCAAAAAAACCTGTCAGGGGAGAACCAGACAGCGAGGAAGGAGAGTGAGAAGCAGGGTTAGAAGATGTCCCCTGATCTGACCCTTAATTCAGAGGAAGGGCGAATCCACGAGTCAGCATGAAGATGGGGTCCTTCTGAACGTCGCTGTGCGGGAGCTCTGGTAATGGAGGAGGGCTGTGCAGCTGAGTGGCTGGAACTGGTACAGACGTGTCAACAAGAAATGAAGGTGCTGGTCACAGCCTGGCTGGTGAAGCCGAGGGACATCTGGGGAAGCGTAATCCGAGGCAGTAGTTTATAACACACACACACACACACACACACACACCATTATATATTTATATAATCTATAATGATAAATATACAATATGCATATAATATACATATTTACTTACTTCGGCTTTTTGAGACGGTCTCGCTGTGTAGCCCTGGGTGTCATGGAACTGTAGACCAGGCTTGAGGTCACAGAGCTTTACCTGCTTCTGCTTCCCGAGGGCTGCGACTGTCATGACAGAGGGCAACTCAGTGCGTGTGAATGGCTTGCACTAGTGTGCAAACTGGACTTGTAAAGTGATAAAGCAATTTTTTTTTTT